GTAGTAGTAGTAGTAGTAAAAGTAGTAGTAGTAGTAGTAAAAGATAGTAGTAGTGTGTTACACCACAGTAGTAGTAGTAATAGTAGTAGAAGTAGTAGTAGTAGTAGTAGTAAAAGTAGTAGTAGTAGTAGTAGTAGTAGTGTGTTACACCACAGGTAGTAGTAGTAATAGTAGTAGAAGTAGTAGTAGTAGTAGTAGTAGTAGTAGTAGTGTGTTACACCACAGGTAGTAGTAGTAATAGTAGTAGAAGTAGTAGTAGTAGTAGTAGTAGTAGTAGTAGTAGTAGTAGTAGTAGTAGTAGTGTGTTACACAAGGTAGTAGTAGTAGTAGTAGTAAAAGTAGTAGTAGTAGTAGTAGTGTGTTACACCACAGGTAGTAGTAGTAATAGTAGTAGAAGTAGTAGTAGTAGTAGTAGTGTGTTACACCACAGGTAGTAGTAGTAGTAGTAGTGTGTTACACCACAGGTAGTAGTAGTAGTAGTAGTAGTAGTAGTGTGTTACACCACAGGTAGTAGTAGTAGTAGTAGTAGTATGTTACATCACAGGTAGTAGTAGTAGTAGTAGTTGTGTGTTACACCACAGGTAGTTAGTAGTATTAGTAGTGTGTTACATCACAGGTAGTAGTAGTAGTAGTAGTAGTAGTAGTAGTAGTGTGTTACACCACAGGTAGTAGTAGTAGTAGTAGTAGTGTGTTACATCACAGGTAGTAGTAGTAGTAGTAGTGTGTTACACCACAGGTAGTAGTAGTAGTAGTAGTAAAAGTAGTAGTAATAGTAGTAGTAGTGTTACACCACAGGTAGTAGTAATAGTAGTAGTAGAAGTAGCAGTATTAGTAGTAGTAGTAGTAGTAGTAGTAGTAGTGTGTTACACCACAGGTAGTAGTAGTAATAGTAGTAGAAGTAGTAGTAGTAGTGTGTTACACCACAGGTAGTAGTAGTAATAGTAGTAGAAGTAGTAGTAGTAGTAGTAGTAGTAGTAGTAGTAGTAGTAGTAGTAGTGTGTTACACCACAGGTAGTTAGTAGTATTAGTAGTGTGTTACATCACAGGCAGTAGTAGCAGTAGTAGTGTTACACCACAGGTAGTAGTAGTAGTAGTAGTAGTAGTAGTAGTGTGTTACATCACAGGTAGTAGTAGTAGTAGTAGCAGTGTGTTACATCACAGGTAGTAGTAGTAGTAGTAGTAGTGTTTACACCACAGGTAGTAGTAGTAGTAGTAGTAGTAGTGTGTTACATCACAGGCAGTAGTAGCAGTAGTAGTGTGTTACACCACAGGTAGTAGTAGTAGTAGTAGTAGTAAAAGTAGTAGTAGTAGTAGTAGTAGTAGTAGTAGTAGTAGTGTGTTACATCACAGGTAGTAGTAGTAGTAGTAGTAGTAGTGTGTTACATCACAGGTAGTAGTAGTAGTAGTAGTAGTAGTGTGTTACACCACAGGTAGTTAGTAGTATTAGTAGTGTGTTACATCACAGGTAGTAGTAGTAGTAGCGTGTTACATCACAGGTAGTAGTAGTAGTAGTAGTATAGTAGTGTGTTACATCACAGGTAGTAGTAGTAGTAGAAGCAGTGTGTTACATCACAGGTAGTAGTAGTAGTAGCGTGTTACATCACAGGTAGTAGTAGTAGTAGTTTGTTACACCACAGGTAGTAGTAGTAGTGTGTTACACCACAGGTAGTAGTAGTAGTGTGTTACACCACAGGTAGTAGTAGTAGTAGTAGTGTGTTACATCACAGGTAGTAGTAGTAGTAGTAGTTGTGTGTTACATCACAGTTTGTATTAGTAGTAGTAGTAGTGTTACACCACAGGTGGTTAGTAGTAGTAGTAGTAATAATAGTAGTAGTAGTAGTAGTAGTAGTAGTAGTGTGTTACATCACAGGTAGTTATTATTATTATTAGTAGTAGTAGTAGTAGTAGTAGTAGTAGTAGTAGTAGTAGTGTGTTACATCACATGTAGTTAGTAGTAGTAGTAGTAGTAGTAGTAGTAGTAGTAGTGTGTTACATCACAGGTAGTTACTAGTAGTGTGTTATACAACACAGGTTGATGGTAGGTCTTAGAAAGTCTGATGTGTACACAGTACGCCTACACCATGGCCTGGTGGCAAAGCTCTCGCTTCACACGCTAAGTGTCTGGGTTCGATTCCCGACGAGGGTGAAAACACTGGACGTGTTTTTTACTGGGTAGAGGCATGGTTGACAAATTGGCAGCAGAGAGTTTGCATAAATGGGGAGAAATCAGAATGGGAGTACGTCACAAGCAGTGTTCCACAAGGGTCAGTGTTGGGCCCCTTGCTGTACACAATCTATATAAACGACATAGATGAGGGAATAAATAACGACATAAGCAAATTTGCTGATGACACCAAAATAGGCCGTCCAAATCATTCTAGTGAGGACATTAGAGCACTCCATGATGATTTGAATTGACTGATGCAGTGGTCGGAGAAGTGACAGATGCAGTTTAACATAGACAAATGCAAAGTTCTAAATGTTGGGCAGGATAATAACCATGCCACATATGAACTAAATAATGTAGATCTTAATATTATGGATTGCGAAAAGGGTTAAGGAGTTCTGGTTAGCAGTTATCTAAAACCAAGACAACAGTGCATTAGTGTTCGCAATAAAGCTAACAGAATCCTTGGCTTCATAGCAAGAAGTATAAATAATAAAAGTCCTCAGGTTGTTCTTCGACTCTATATATCTTTGGTTAGGCCTCATTTAGACTATGCTGCTCAGTTCTGGTCACCGTATTACAGAATGGATATAAATGCTCTGGAAAACGTACAGAGAAGGATGACAAAGTTGATTCCATGTATCAGAAATCTTCCATATGAGGATAGACTGAGGGCCCTGAATCTGCACTCTTTCAAAAGGCGTAGAATTAGGGGGATATGATCGAGGTGTATAAATGGAAAACAGGAATTAATAAAGGGGGTGTAAATAGCGTGCTAAAAATATCTAACATAGACAGGACTCACAGTAATGGCTTTAAATTGGAAAAATTCAGATTCAGGAAGGATATAGGAAAGCACTGGTTTGGTAATAGAGTTGTGGATGAGTGGAACAAACTCCCGAGTACCGTCATAGACGCTAAGACGTTGTGTAATTTTAAAAATAGGTTGAATAAATACATGAGTGGGTGTGGGTGGGTGTGAGTTGGACCTGACTAGCTTGTCCTACTAGGTCGGATGCCTTGCCGCTCCCTTAGGTGACGTGTCTGACCTTACTAGGTCAAGGCATTGTTGCCATGTTCCTTCTTTCTTATGTTCTTATGAGGAATAAGGAACAGATCACAGAGATGAGGAATAGATAAAACAGAATATAGGGATAAAGAAAAAAGAAGAAGAACAAATTATACAGAATACATTAATTACAGAAGATATCATAAATAAATTATACTACTAAGTAAGTATGGAAAAATATGTGTTAAATTTATCTATACAACCTTCCTTTATGAACACCAGTGAAGAACTCACCTGCCGTGGAGAACAACAACCTTCCTTTATGAACACCAGTGAAGAACTCACCTGCCGTGGAGAACAACAACCTTCCTTTATGAACACCAGTGAAGAACTCACCTGCCGTGGAGAACAACATCCTTCCTTTATGAACACCAGTGAAGAACTCACCTGCCGTGGAGAACAACATCCTTCCTTTATGAACACCAGTGAAGAACTCACCTGCCGTGGAGAACAACATCCTTCCTTTATGAACACCAGTGAAGAACTCACCTGCCGTGGAGAACAACATCCTTCTTTTAAGAACACCAGTGAAGAACTCACCTGCCGTGGAGAACAACAATCTTCCTTTAAGAACACCAGTGAAGAACTCACCTGCCGTGGAGAACAACAACCTTCCTTTAAGAACACCAGTGAAGAACTCACCTGCCGTGGAGAACAACAACCTTCCTTTAAGAACACCAGTGAAGAACTCACCTGCCGTGGAGAACAACATCCTTCCTTTAAGAACACCAGTGAAGAACTCACCTGCCGTGGAGAACATCATGATTCCTTTAAGAACACCAGTGAAGAACTCACCTGCCTTGGAGAACAACATCCTTCCTTTAAGAACACCAGTGAAGAACTCACCTGCCGTGAAGAACAACATCCTTCCTTTAAGAACACCAGTGAAGAACTCACCTGCCGTGAAGAACAACATCCTTCCTTTAAGAACACCAGTGAAGAACTCACCTGCCGTGGAGAACAACAACCTTCCTTTAAGAACACCAGTGAAGAACTCACCTGCCGTGGAGAACAACAACCTTCCTTTAAGAACACCAGTGAAGAACTCACCTGCCGTGGAGAACAACAACCTTCCTTTATGAACACCAGTGAAGAACTCACCTGCCGTGGAGAACAACATCCTTCCTTTAAGAACACCAGTGAAAAACTCACCTGCCGTGGAGAACAACATCCTTCCTTTAAGAACACCAGTGAAGAACTCACCTGCCTTGGAGAACAACAACCTTCCTTTAAGAACACCAGTGAAGAACTCACCTGCCGTGGAGAACAACAACCTTCCTTTATGAACACCAGTGAAGAACTCACCTGCCGTGGAGAACAACATCCTTCCTTTATGAACACCAGTGAAGAACTCACCTGCCGTGGAGAACAACATCCTTCTTTTATGAACACCAGTGAAGAACTCACCTGCCGTGGAGAACAACATCCTTCCTTTATGAACACCAGTGAAGAACTCACCTGCCGTGGAGAACAACATCCTTCTTTTATGAACACCAGTGAAGAACTCACCTGCCTTGGAGAACAACAACCTTCCTTTATGAACACCAGTGAAGAACTCACCTGCCGTGGAGAACAACATCCTTCCTTTATGAACACCAGTGAAGAACTCACCTGCCGTGGAGAACAACATCCTTCTTTTATGAACACCAGTGAAGAACTCACCTGCCTTGGAGAACAACAACCTTCCTTTAAGAACACCAGTGAAGAACTCACCTGCCTTGGAGAACAACAACCTTCCTTTATGAACACCAGTGAAGAACTCAC